TATATATATATATATATATATATATATATATATGTATATATATATATATGTATATATATATATATATATGTATATATATATATATATATATATATATATATATATATATATGTATATATATATATATATATATATATATATATATTATATATATTGGATTTATATTACATATATATATATATATATATATATATATATATATATATATATATATATATATATATATATATATATATATATATATATATTATATATATTGGATTTATATTACATATATATATATATATATATATATATATATATATATATATATATATATATATATATATATATATATATATATATATATATGTTATATATATATACATTTAAATAAAAGAAATGCCAAATAAGCAAAATAGTTTTAGAAAGAAGAGCAGAAAATAGAATGGGTTTAAACCATCTGATATTCTCAAATCAAAACATGCTATATATATATATATATATATATATATATATATATATATATATATATATATATATATATATATATATATATATATATATATATATATATATATATATATATATATATATATATATATATATATATATATATATATATATATATATATATATATATATATATATATATGTATATATATATATATATATATATATATATATATATATATATATATATATATATATATATATATATATCATGATCATGAGATTTCTTGTGCTAGCTTAATATGTATCTTTCAGCTCGGATAAATGTGAATCTGACAACAATTTTATACTTATTAACTTTTTATTGTTAAAGAAATTAATTGAACACACTGTTTGCCCCAATTATTTTATTGGAATTTTGTTGATCAAAGATAACGTTGATTCCGCATGGGCTTTTGTCATTTAATTGAGATAAAGTGTACAAAGTGTAACTTTTCTAAAAATTTTAGAACTTCACCACAACACAAATGAGTTTCCTATTGATAATGTTAAAAAAGAACTTTCATCTTTAGAATCACCATATGAGATCAACCTTCGAGCTGTCATCGGATTGCGAGAAATAGATGCTGGTCATGAGTCGATGAAAACTTTTTCCTATAAAATTCATTTAACAGATGGGTTTTTTTTTATGATCAGTAATTTTTTTTATTTTGAGTCAGATCTCTTTAAAACGTCAAAAAATAAATAAAAGATGAGAAAAATCTACATAACTCATCATTTAGTTCGATATTTAAAAAATCTGTTAAATGGAATAAAATAGTGTTTAGAGTAAGTGTACGAAATTTCAGGTCATATGATGATGGCTAGTCTTAGTTAATATGTTTTGAAATTTAGTCCAAAAACGCATTTTTTGGTAGTTTTTCCGCCCTTATGGTCCTAATGCTAATTGAAAAAAATTTTATTTTTGCTCTTTTTGATTTAAATCATTTGAGTAAACTGTATTTAAAAGCATTTTTATTTTAGAGGTTTATTTCATTTTTTTTTATTTGGTATTGCACCACATAAACTAACAGAAAGCAATTTATACTTAAAAAACCAAAAGACTCAAAAAAAAAGCTTAATAACTTGTGGAGTTCCATTTTGGGACCATTATTGTTCTTACTTTATATAAATGACTTATATTTATCATCAAAAGTAATAAATACTATCTTATTTGCAGATGACACTAATTTGTTTTATTCTCACAAAGATATTACTGTTCTTTTTAAAATATTTAACAAAGAATTAAATAAGATCAACGAGTGGTTTATAAGTAACCGACTATCATTAAATGTAGAGAAAACAAAATTTATCCTATTCCATAAATCTAGTAAAGCCGAGAATATTCCTCTTAAACTACCCAATCTTTTAATAAAATAATTAAAAGGGAATTAGGGACTACAAACTTTCTGGGAGTGCTTTTAGATGAAAAATTGTCATGGAAATTTTATATTAAATATATTGAAGGTAAGATCTTAAAAAATATTGCCATGTTATATCGAACAAAACTTTTTCTTAACAACGAGTCTTTAAAAAATTTATATTTTTCGTTTATAAATAGCTATCTTTCATACTGTAACATTTCCTGGGGTAGCACTAATCACACTAAACTCAAAAATATTTATAGTAAATAAAAACATGCTTGCAGGAAAGTATTTAGGTCAAATAGAAAAACACAATGCGAACCTCTCTTACGTCAGCTTGGCGCTTTAAATATTTATAAGCTTAATATTCATCAAGTAATGTTATTTATGTTTAAAGCAAAACTTGCGTTTTCTCCAGTAACATTTCATTCCTACTTTAATGAAATCTCCCATAAATATCCAACCAAATTTTCAGTGAATAACTTTGTGGTTCCCATAAACCTTCTTAAATTAAGTTCGTACCAAATTCAATATGGGGGACCTTTAGTTTGGAAAAAATTTCTTCCAATCTTTAATAAAAAACAAAACATCTTTTTAAACTGCACTTTGTAAAGTTTTAAGGATAATTCAAAACGACATTAACTAAAAATTTAATTCAATATATAAGATTTCATATACCTTTTTTGAAAACAATTTAAAGATTTAAGCTAAAACTTAAAAATAAGTTAAATCTTTAACACTTTCTTTAGCTTTTATTAAAATGGTTTCAAACCGCTAGTATAAAAGATAACGAATATAAAATTGTCCCAAATACTTAACTTTACATATATTGCTTTTTTTTTTTAATTAAACAACGCATTTTTTTTGTGTTTTTATAACTTTAATGATTTTCTCTCGTTTTAACTATTTTATTTTTAAAATAGTTCTGCTGGAAGATTGTTAGCAAAAAATTATTTTATTGCTGAAGTTTTTTTGTTTTTGTTTTTGTATTTATACTGTCTTTTTTTCTTTTATCATTTATTGTGCATGTATATTTTTGTGTGATGGGGCTCGGTGATAAGACAGCCTGTCTTTTTCTTGCTCCGGCCAGGATTTTCTTTTATTGTAATTTCTTTTTTGTAATATATATCAACGACAAAATAAATAAATAATAATTAAAAAATAATAATAATAATAATAAGGCAATTAGCTGGATGACAATATAAACTACAATAGAAAAAAAGGTCAGAATTTTCTTATTTATATTACTTTTACTATTTTATTATTTAAATACTGTAGTATATTTATAAATGTTTATTACTGTTTACCTTATTCTTTCTACGTTTGCTTTTCTGTTTTACTTCTATAAAGATAGACTCACGTGAAATATTTATGCCTACATTTTAAGTTATATGTATGTAACTTAAAAATAAATAAATAATTATTCAAAATATTATAAAAAATTTAAATAAATAAAAAAGTTAGACCCATGTGGGTCCCACATATGCAGTCCATATGGGCTGCCCACTTGGGCCCCAATTCACGCCTAGCAACAGTTTTCTTTGGGCGGGATGTGTGAAACCCCTTTGAGCCCATAAAGCTGCCCACTTGGGGCCCATATGGGGTCCAATATGACTTGCTGGCTGGGGTATGACTACATATTAAATTAAATATATCTAATTTAAAATTAAATAAGCAATTATTTAAAATAATATAAAAAATCTAAATAAATAAAAAAGTGGGACTTATGTGGGTCCCACATGGACAGCCTATTTGGCTGCACACTTGGGCCCCAGTTCATATCCAGCAACAATTTTTTTTGGGCGGGATGTATATAAAATTTCCTTAAACATACTATGATCTGTTTCTTTAAATACTTTCATTTGAAATAGGGCATCATTGCAATTTTCAGACGAACATTATTTTTGTATTTATGTAAATGACTTTTAAAATCAATTTTAAGTTCATCAACAACAGTTTTGGTTCCAGTTGATTCGTCCCAAGCATAGTCAAGAAACGGTATGATCTCTGATGTGTCTAAACTCATACCTTGTGTAGCGCTTTCAAAATGCTTTAGTATGCATACAATTATTTTAGCATTTCAGGTTATATGCTTCTGTAGTTATAGAATCATTAATTATTCATGTTTTTGAGTGGTGATCAGAAATAATTTTTCTTGCGTACGTTTCAAGCGCAAAAAAACTAAATACAAATTATAGCGAAAACAGGTTTTAGTTAATACAACAACGGAATAAAATTAAACATAGAACTTAAATAAAATATAAAAAAGCACCCTTTATTTTTGATAAGCAGACAAACAAAAAAAAAATATATATATATATATATAGTTTGCGGCACGTCGTAATGTATACTATGTATGCCGCGGCATACGTCAAGGAATCAGAGTAAAGGAGTAAATTAGAAATTAAATGTAAAGTAATTATATCGTAAACAATAAAATTAATTTGTTTTTAATATAACAGTAGATTATTAACTTTAATTACCTAAAAAAACTCGACGAAGCTTCAGCAAAAACTGACCCTGGCTTCGGCATGCCGAAGCCGAAGCTTCGGTACATCCCTAATTAAAAGTGCTGTTTCAAATAAATTTGTTCTGTTTTGTATTAATTTAAAATTTGCGGCGAATTTGCAATAAAAAAACTCCTGGCTTCTATTGAGGAATAAACAATAAAAAAAATCTTACAATCTCAAAGTTTTACAACTTAGAATGTTAGTTTGAAAAACTATAGTATATTTATACTTGTTTTTTGTTTTTTTTTTGTTTTATTAGTTTGACGGCGTAACTTCTTAAGTGACTTATGTTTCCGATGTTTTAAATAACTTTTCTATATACTTATTTATATATAGAAACAAAAAAATTATTATTAGCTGTTTTATTTGGTAATAATTGGTTTTTAGGTGAGAAAACATTTATTACTGCTAAAATTTATATTTATTGTTGTTAAGATTTTTTAAATCTATAGAACTCTTTTTTTGTACACATAGAAAATAAAACACAATAAAGTTTTTAAATAACAATTTGTAATTCGTTTACAATCAAAATCTCTGAATCAATTTTTATCTACTTACTTTTAACAAACTTTAAAAAACATGTTATAAAACAAAAAAAAAACGTTAGGCTTTGTAAAAGGGTAGACATAATTGAAGGCTGATTGAGCAGAATCCGCTCAATTCTTTTGTCTTTCTAAATTTTTGAAATAACATCAGATGTTGTTTACAGCTTGAATTCGTTTTCTTTTTTGAAAAAAAAAAAAAATTGTCAATAGTTTGCTTACTCGTAAGCATTTTTATGTTTTGATAAAGAGTATTTATCTCAAGCATGCTGAACGACTAGAGTAGTCACCAGAACGACTAGAGTAGTCACCAGAACGACTAGAGTAGTACTAGAGTAGCTTCTGCTTTTCTTAAGTTTGGTATATAAAACTCAAAACTTGAGCAATATTGATGTTTGTTTACAAGATATACTAGGTAAGCAGAAATGATTTTGAGCAACGAAACCTACCAAAAACGCTTATCTGTGAAATTCCAGAGCATTTTACCGTAAACTATTTCCTGAAAGCAATTGAAAACGAAAACCATGACAAAGAATTTGAAGGCATTGAATTTTTACGAAGAAACGCATATAATTATTTAACAATCCAATGTTAAATAATTATATATTATATTTGTATCATGAAAACCAACGTAACTAAAATAAAACTATTAGAAAATGGACTATTTATTAACAATTACCTGTATGCCTTCAAAACATCTAGGATAAATTGAAGGCCAAAAACAGAGGAAAAACGCTTAAACCATACATGCGTTTTGATATTTGACCTTCCAATAGAGGCAAAACATTTTAGAATCGAAAGTTATTTTTAAGAAAAGGAAAATAATATACATGCCTACACCAAATCTTTTAATGTGAACAACGCCAGAAAAAAGCACACCCTTCTCTACTCCGGTATCCTGGTCATGGAGGATATTCTAAAACCAATGCCAACCTCTTTAAACATAGTAGGTTCTAAAATACGAATTACGAACTAGTCACAACGGCCAAGAAACACACAACCACGCACAAAAAAAGACAACCTTGAGATACAAAAAAATAAAGTCTGACATACAATAACCCATCAACAACCAACTGGTAAAAAAGAAACAAACAACTCTAAACCCGAGAAAAATCTATCCAAAACAACAAATAAAGAAAATATCAACAAATCAACCGACACATAAAAGACAAATAGCATACTTGAAAACGAAGAAAAAACTGATTAAGAAAAAGAGAAGAAATAAGCAACAAAATCAAAGAAGAACGAAACCCAATACAGAAGACCAAAGAAGAAAAAAGGAAGACACTCGGAACAAGAAAGGAATACTATTTCAAAAAGCAACGGACATAGTAGCAAAAGAAAAGAACCACATAAAAGATGCGGAAGAAAGTCAACAAGAGAACGAAGCGGAAAAAGCTTAAAAAAAAAACGAGAAGAAATGCACAAAGAAAACACGTGGCAAAAAAAAACGCGGCTCTACACAAAAATGATCGCAAAAAAAAAAAGAAAAGAGCTAAGATAGTAAAACGATAGAAAATAGCTGATTTTTTTTATTTATTTATTTTTTCCTTAATTTTTAGTAACGGTTTTTTTAAATAAAATATTTAAACAAATATTTCAGCAAGAAAACGCTAAACTCTAAACCACCTAAAGTTTGAGTTCCAAATAAGAAAATGTATTTAGCAAGTTCTTATTTATGGAACTCATACATAAGGATAGAAAATGCTTCGACGCTGAAAATTGATTGGAGATATTAAGTATTTTCTAAACCAACGTTGCTGGTTTAATAAATAAACTAATATCAATATGTTATCAATAAAATATAAACGATTTTTACCTCTTTATTAAAAAAACTATAAAGCATTATCGAAATATATATAAAGATTAATATATATATATATATATATATATATATATATATATATATATATATATATATATATATATATATATATATATATATATATATATATATATATATATATATATATATATATATATATATATATATATATATATATATATATATATGTATAAAGTATATATACAAAATATATATAAATATAAAGAGTCAAAAAACTATAAAGCGTTTTTACCTCTGCTGGGAAGACCCGCACAGGTGGGATAGCAATAACAAGCAAACAAGTGCTAAAACTATATGAAAAATTTGATCACGAAATTGGAATTTTAATTACGCGCCAAGAAAATTAAATAAACTAAAAATTCTTTCGTCAATGCTCCCCGGGATATGATTTGCCCAAAGACAGAAAAATGTTATCCGAACAAATCAAAAACAAAATTAAACATAAATTTAGAAAATGTTTTAGTAGCCCTGGCGGAAAATTCTATTATTGTTTTAAATGAAATCTACGGGCACCCACAAATATACAGGAAAAAATGCCCGTCAACAAAATTTAATCCAAAAAATCAGGAATATTTTCTCACAAATAATATTTTCTATTCTCGATTCGATAAGGTTTATTTAAGTAAAAAATAACGCAGTGGACACCGACGTAAAAAAGACGTCTTTTAAACGTCTTATACACGTTTTAGACGTCTTTTAAACGTTTTGGACGTCTTTAGAACGTTCAAATGACGTCTTTTTTTTGTTCCTGTCCCACTGGGGAGGCAAAATGTAGAAATAAAAGACAAACCGATGCACAGTGGAGTAATTGTAAGACAAAACCGCTCCAAATTTTTTTTATGGATTTTTTTTTGATACCTAAGTTTGAAACACAATATTTTATAAAAATCAATTGTTTTGGTTTTTCTAAAAATAATATTTTTTCAAATAGTAATTTATTATAAAGATAAAGGCAAATCAATTGTTCGCTTGGCAAATCTTCATGCCGAGATCATCATTGACTGCCTCTTTTGAAAAAGGCGACGTTTTTTTTGTGCCGTTTCGATCTAGAACTACTTATGTTTGGGAATGAATGAACTCAATAACAGCCTATTTAGTAAGTCTGTAATGCAGCCGAAAAGAAAAAATATATTTTGATCAACTTTTAGTTAAATTTCAGCTGTAGTTTTAGTTACTTGTATCAATTTCTCATCACGGCAACATTATTTTTTAGCTTGTTATATTAATGAATAGCAAGTTAAGACATTTATTTTATTACTTTATATAAGTAATCACTGTTTTCTGGTCAAATCGCCTTGTACAAACAGTTTCAATGCTTCTTGAGGTGTTAATTTATTGACAGTTACTTTTTTTAAAAAAGAGTTAACATTTCGGTAGTTTTTTGCTCTGGTAGGCGAGGCAGTATCTTCTTTAACAAACTTAGCAGCATCAGTATTTCCTGAAGTGCGTTTGTTCACTCTGGCTGCATACGTCAACTTATCAACAGATACCTGCTCGCGCAGATCCATAATTTTTTGACACTTTAATGCAATTACGAAGCTCTATAAATGATTTTGACAACGTCCAAGTTTCTCTCGAACATTTATTGATCAATAAAGCAGTTCGATGTTTAATTTGAGCCATTATTCTTCCAACAACATAACTTTTCATCAATTTTTTTTACCATTGTCTTAGATTAATTCATATAACTCTCTTCGAGTGAACAACTTTTTGACTTCAGAGGAACCTACAAGATAAATAATAAAACAATAAACACAAATTTGGGTATCGGTCTCCTAAACTATCGACAAATAAAATATATTTATTTGTTTGAGATTTAATAGTTTATCATAATTATTACCGTAGTTATTATTTATAATAAAGTATTATTTAATAATTAATTAGATTTAATAACGTTGTTTGGTTAAGCTTGTACAAAAATATTTAAAAAATAGACCACAAGAGTTTATTTTAAAGGTGTTTTAAAACTTTTTACTAGATTGTGTATATTATGAAATGGTTAACACACTATTTTCGAAGCGTTAAATTAAAAAGTAGCGGACGCTGGCAGTTAATTTTACAAAAATATCTGATTATTAACAGCCTATAGTTATTGCTCGTAAAAAGCTTATAACTCGACTAGACCATACTTGATAACAAAAATATTAATATCTTATGTCAAAATTAAAACCCAAATAGGCCATTGTAAAAGCGTTTTATCTTATGCACAAGAAAAACAAAAATTTAATGTAATTTTATTTAAGATATAGGTCATACCTTCCTCTCCCATAATTAGAAGTTTAATTTTTCAAAACTGAACAAAATGATAACAATATCTGGAATTACAAATGTCACAAGTTTTCGATTAATCTTAAAAAACTTAAAAAATCTTAAAAACAAATCTTAAAAACAAATTCAATGTGGGAAAATCTTAAAAGCAAAAAAAAAAAAAAAGCAGCCGTGGCGCAGTGGTAGCGCACTTGCCTCAGATACGTAAGATCCGTGGTTCAAACCCCATCTCTGAGCAAGTTTTGCGACATTGGTTGGGAAGGAGGCGTGAACTTCCTTTTAAATGCTCATCCGCGGTGCTCTGTGATAAGACCGTAAGGACTTCTTGGGGCACCTAAATCAACATAAAAAAAATAATTAAAGGAACACGCAAAAAATAATAGCAAGATTGAAGAATACAAATTAAAAATTAAAAATTAAAAAACGCAATTAAAAAAGCACACCTTAAACCCCGCATGCAAATTTTGAGCGCTGACATCAAAAATGAAATTAAATTTTTTAAACAAACACTGCATACAAAGACGGATTTGAGATTTATAGAGATAAAGAATAGAACCCTGTGTAAGAAAGTGTCGAGCGCGATAAAGAGATGTAACGTTAGCAGATGCTAATTTTGCAATGGATTGATATATGCTTTGGAATATATCAATCTATTACAATCTACATACAAATGTTGGAAAATATTTACAAACGGTATGTTTGTAAATATTTTCCAACATTTGTATGTAGAACGAGAAGATTTAAATCCATATTGATGATCAAAGAGTAAGTTATTAGATTCAAGATAAAAGATTAAGTTCTTGCTAATTAGAGACTAAAAGTCTTTGCTTACGATAGTAAGAAGACTAATAGGATGGTAGTTAGACGAGTCAGATTACTCTCCAGAATTTAGGAAAAAATGGATAATAGATACCAGTTTTCAGCAGGCAGGAAAACAAGACTCTGATAATGACTTGTTAAATAATTTTGAAAATATAGACGGCAGCTCCAGAGAACACTTCTGCAAGTCTATAACAAGCATATTGTCCGGACCACAAGCTGTAGAAGAGTCTAAGCAGCAAATTACTTTAGATACAGAAGCTGGATTGATACAAGGTCAGACAATGGATTAACCTGTTTGTCAACTATGTCAGGTAAAACGCGATATCATAAGAATATTTAACAAAAACTAACTTGATGCATTTATTATATTAATTGATCAGGCCAATACAATTGATAGAGTAGATAAGAACTATCTATAAAGAACTTTACTCACCGTGGCGCAGTGTTAGAGCGCTTGCTTTATAAGCAGGAGATCCAGA